TTGCTTACTCGCGGCCAATTTATGTTGCCAACGGCTACCTACAAAATTCGCCAATGTAATTGACCCTTAACGCAGCTGTCCTCACTTTGGGCACTTTTGATCAGTGAATAATTATTTTAGAGTGGGGAATAGAAAAATATTATTTTGAGATCTACTATGCTACTACTACATTATTCATGGCACACCGTTATCAATCTTGATGGTTACATTAGACTTTGGGTTTTATTAAATATATTGTAAATAAATTTGCGTGCATAGAGATAGACCCATTGCGGACTTTCGATTTCAATTTCATTTTTTTAGAAAGTACTGATCAGATAAAAAAATATCCAATTTGAAAGCCAAATTAATATGTTTTAATACAAGTTTAAATTGATTAAAATTTATTTCTTGTTTTTAGGTTTAGCATAGTAAAATAACTGCAAGAGTCAAATTAACTTTTTTTTTATTACTCAAAACAAATAGGATTATTGACAATTAGCAACACAACACTTCAAGTTCGCTATTGTTTCTTGTGGAATGTTAAGCCACTCTTCCTCTACTGCAATTATAAGCTTTGGAATCGAGGTTGGGGTACAAAGTCTAGTTCGAATTCTCCATGACTTCAAAACCGACTTTTGTAATGTAATCTTGCACGATCCTTGCGGTGTGCGGCCTAGCATCGTCATGTATAAAAATGAATTCCTCTCCAATGTAATCGACATATGGTAACACGTGATCTGATAAACTACGGATGAAAACAGGGTCGGTTCGTGCGTCCTTAGAAATTGCACCCCGTATCATGCAGGAACCACCTCCATTAGGGCTCCCCTTTTCATTGTAGCATTCTGCAAATCGCTTTCCTGGTCTGGTCAATTTTTGCGTCGGTCACTACCAAAAAGGCATATTCTGGTCTTATCGGAGAACAGAATAGACCCCCATTCAGATGTTCCCGTGCACAGCGTAGGCGTGCTTGTCGATGAGCTGGAGTAAGTTTTGGACCAATTGCAGTTGTTTTTGGGATCAGGTTATTTTCCTTCAGTCTTCTTCTCACTGTCCACGGACTAATAGCCACTCTTCGAACTTCATGGAGCTTGTGTTGCACTTGAACCGCATTAAGGTGACGATTTCTTGTTATTGTTGACACAATAAAGCGGTCATCACGAGTCGTTGTAATTTACCTTCTGCCTGTTCCAGCGCGCCTACCAAAGAATCCAGTCTCCTCATACCGTTGGCATACTCGTCGAACTGATGCAAACTCCAATTGTGCTGCTTTTTGCTGTGTATGCATCAAGCTAACACAATTATACGCAATCCAAATGATAAAGAATAATGCGAAAGTCAAAGATTTAGTTTATAATTTAGTTTTGGTCAAACTCCAATATAACATTAAGTATTAGGATATTATTAGGGTAATTGTTATTCGATATTTCTCGACAATTTGTTTTGTGTTTAGATTTGAAACCGGTAATCTTTTCCTTCAAGGTTGTCAGCATAATAGTTGATAGCAATTTATAGTTAAAATTTGTATCCACCAGAGGTCTGATTTAATAGTAAAATCGCCAATTACAAATATATGAAGAATTGAAAAGAATAGTATTAAAAACTGGCTTGGGGTCAAATTTTAAAAATATTTATGGCATTGCCGATTTGTCACATTAAACCAAATCCCAACTTTTTTTAATGTACATTGTTAAATTTTTAGATTTTAATCTGAAAGTTATCATATATTACTATATTCATATATAACTATATTGAGCTATTTCAGATATGCTCAGAGTCGCCTAAAAATTTGCGTTTTTAGGAAATAATGCAGATTGCAGAATATAAAAATGTAAATTAAGCTTGAAATTTATTTAAATTTTATTGTGGTAATAAAACGATTCATGAGAGTGTTATAGGATACCTACTTGTTTCGAACAGTGTCTTGGAGTTAAAAAAGCAGACAAATGCAATTTAAACAAATATCAGACAGGAAATAAAAACGTATAACGTTTTTAATATGCAGATTATGTTCAAACGCGATTATGGGTTTGGTGGTTTGGCAAGTTCATCAGGGAGGAAACAAGTCTTATTAATATAATCGATTTACTGCTTTCGAGTAGTTTAAATAAGACACTTACGTTGTGTAGTTTTTTATCCTTATATGGAAAAATACTCGTCACTCTTAAAATTTCCCTAAAATTTAAATAAAATTTCAATTTATTTAAGTACACTATCGAATACGGAAGCGAAGCGCAGTTATCTGACCGTCTCATTCTCTCTCTTTTTATTCACCTATTTAGTTAAGTTTGCGTAGTAATTAGATTGAACGTCGCCATTTATAAATTATTATTAGTATTTTTAACAATTATTTGCCCATGAGTAAAAAACCCTATAAAGTGAGAGGTAACATATAACATAACTATCGATAACTTTAATTAGTTGGGTTAGTCTCAGAGGTGGTTACAACATTCCTTCCCCGTTCTAACATTGTTTGTCGAACTGTAAAACACTATATTTAGTTTTCTTTTCAATTTCATGTGAACATTTTAAGCAACTTTAACTTTTAACGTTTTGTTCTGAAATATGTTTATTTTTTTACCAACATTGTGTAAATATTTTCACAGTCCTAGCTTTTATAACAGGTAGGGTTGTGTTTCCTACACATGGTTAGTTGGTTGGATAACAACCTAAAAACGACGAAGCATTCCCTGTGTATTGTAAACGTTTAGTGGTATATTTCAAATTGAACAATCCTATATTTTGATAAAAAAATTGCTATAGCACCCCGATTTATAACAATAAATACTCAATATGGGCTGAGCTACAACATTTTAAAGCTAATCTACTGGCCAATTAATACTATTTTTTCCCTTTTATTTTGCTTATTCCTGTTGTTCCTTGCAGCACGAGCGGAGCGAGTGTTTAATAAACGAGTGACTTAAAAAGTTTACCGAACGTGTTGAATACTATACTTTTTCTACGCCTGTTAGTTTTTGGGTACATTTGCGCATGACGACACGAATACATTCACTGACACGACTGTCAAAATTGGCAAATGTGGGAAACAAAACTGACGTGGTAAAGTGCCACTTTCCGCTCGTTAGATTGGTGTGTAATTAGGCATTTTACAGACGGGAGTAGAAAAAAATTGTTGGCAGCCACCCAGAGAGTGCAGAAATCCGAATTACGTACCAACATGCTGAGAATGCTGAAGATATTATACAAAAAAAAGGAAAAAGCAAAACCTGTAAGCCAGAAAAAAATAAGCCCCAAAAAATCAACGAATAAAAAAGAAATAAAGAAAAGCAATCCTGCAAACCTGATTTTTTTATTTATATTAACAAAATTGCGGTGAAAAAGAAACACGGGAAATCTCTACCAACTTGGCCCTATGGCCGTAGCTACTTCAAATTAACACCGCGCCACGCCACTGAGCCATAGACGCTTTTAATGGCGTCACACCCTCGGAGGGGTTGTTCAACCATATATAGGCAGACTAAGACGATCGTGGAAACAAAAATGTGTAAAGTGCTTTGCGCCGTGATTAAATCGTCAAGCTAATCGTTGACGTTCACCGAGACGTACACAATTGTTTCGGACCATACAAAACGTGCCTGAATAGGTACGTTTGTTATCGAATTCAACACAAAAATAATTAAAACCATAAGAAAATCGCTAAGCACGCCGCAAGTTCTTGTCTTTGGCGTCGATTTTTTGTTTATTTATAAAAGCAACAGATCATCGCAATTCCCGCGAGATAGTCTTGTTTACGCGCAATACGGGTGAGTAATTAATTATACTGGGATATCTGAATATGTTAAATTAACATTGTGGTGACTCATAGCAGGATTTCATTGAGAGATATGTATATTAATGGTCGAAATCAACTCCGCTTATTGGTTAATCCGATGGTTAATCACTGTTAATAATAAACATAAAAACGCGTTATGCCATACCGAATATGTTAGTTGGCCGATGAACTTGATCTTAATTGGAATGACAACTTCATGATTGAAAAGTGAGGCAAATTTTGCAACAGAAGGCGGCTAAAATGGAATCTTTGTTTAATTACTTAATTATTTAAAAAATAATGTCTACAAATTAATGCCCTGAAAAATTTTAAATGTCAAGTCATTTCTAAAGTTACAAAAAGTACACATTGGTCAGAAATTTTCAGAAGTGTTATGTTAAAAGCCTTAAAATATAAACGTGAACATTTAACCAATATTTTTTTTTGTTTAAAATTAAATTTCCTTTTTAAATTTTTATGAAAAAAACCATTATCAAGATCATAAAATTCATAAAATCAAACCAATTTTCGTTTCTAAATAATAATATTCAATTTATTTGACAACATACTTTATACTTTATTTATATTTTGACAAAGAACAAAGAAATTTACCACTTTAGAAAATGTTTTGTATTAAAAGTAGCATTAAATTATTAGCAGGTAACTCTAGATGCACCATAATGTCGTCTTAAAAATTAATCAAAATATATCACAACTTTCTGCATATAGGTACGACTTAAATTATATTTACCTCTTGTTCTATCCCTTCAACACTTCACATATCTCTTTCTTATTCCTAGCCGTCATGCTTTAAAAAGGCGACAAAACAGATCCGTATTAAGTACGATTGTCTTTTTGACCGGTAACGATAGATTCTATTTTTGTATTTTAGGATATGAATGAACCTTTTTTTGAATTGTTGTGTTATTATTGGGTGTTTATCAGCAACTTTCACATAGCAAAAAGATTAGAGCATTGAAAACCCTTGAGTCCGCTCCTTGACAAACCTAAATTTTGTAGAAAGAAAATCACCATGAAACGACAAGCTTCGTCGACCATGATTAAAAGTTTATTTAGTCCAGACTATATGTGCCGTTAGTATTAGCGTGATTAACAAAGAATAGACTCCTTATTACTACCTTTCCCAGTGTTTGTAAAATTTGCTTCACAAAATTGATATTGACTACATACGGGAACCATTCCAATTTAGATCGGGTTCACTGTAGAATCGCACGTAAAATATTACCTTTTCGTTTCAGTTTCCGTCCCGTGATGTTTCTTACATTTTGGTCTGAAAGCAAGGGAAGTCAGAATAGACCTACACGTTCTATAAATGTTTAATTAGGGGGATTTTTATCACGAATAACTTTTTAACGCGTGTGATTGACGTAAAAGGCGAGGGGAGATTGGGCTGACATTGACGGGAATATAAATAAGCATTGCGAGGAACTCTCGGGAATTGATAAGAACCAGGACTCTGCCTGACTTAGACATGGACATGGGCCGGAATCGGAAGTTCGTTTTCACAAAAATCATCATGAAATGGTTTAAAGGCTCTTTTATTTTATTTTTTATATTTTAAGCAGCAAAAAACAAATATAATTTATTGTCTCTAATAACTAAAACCAAAAAAAAAACTGTATAAAAAACTTTCAAAAACTTCTATAGTAATATCACTAGATCACTGTGTTCAAAGCTAGAAGCAAAATGTTTTATAAAACAATGATGAAAAACACAAAAAAAACAACAGCAAATCAGAAAGAGAAAGCAATTGGTAGGTAAACACCAATGTACAAAAGGAAGAAAGCTGAATATGTAAGAATGGCTTCTGAAATCATTTAATGCGGTTTTTGTGAATCAGTAAAAAATGGATATATCCAACATTATATATTATATTGACAGATGAGCATGAGCGAGATACGCAAGCTCTTTTTCACGGTCATATAGTTACACACTTAGAAGACAAGGTCCAATCCAACTAAATAAATAACAACTAAAAGTTCAAATATGACAATTGTTTCTACTACTATATATACCGAAAAATGACAATAAATTACGAAAATGAAAAACAAATTAGATTTTTCCATTTACCATAAACCTTCACACACGGACACAGTCATACATAACAGCTCAAATCGCCCTTATACACAGAAAATGGCTGTATTTCACTCTTTTATATACAGACTTCTTAATACGCTACTCTCAACATAAAATTACAACAAAGAACTTAATATCATTAAACAAATTGCAGTGAACAACGGCCACAATCCGCCCATTATCGATAAAATTATAAATAACAAACAGATTCAGACAACAGTAAACTCTATTTATCCGAAACCTAATACAGAACACGAACAATTTAAAACAATTACATACATAGGAGAACACAGTGAAAAAGTTTCAAAACATTTGCTAAAATGTGGTTTAAAAATAGTTTTTCAAAACTAACTACACAATAGGAACATTAATAAAAAACAATAAAACGAAATGTCCAGAATCTCAAAAAATCAGGTGTCTATAGGTTGAAATGCGGATCTTGTCCTAAAATTTATATTGGACAAGCAGGTAGATCCTTCAAGAAACGCATTAACGAACATAAAAAAAGCATTTAAAAACAATCATCTATATTCTAATTATGCTCCACACTTAAACACAGAAAAGCACATTTTTGACGACAATTTTGATATTTTACATACAGCCACAAAAAGTAGAAAATTAAATTTATTGGAAACCATGGAGATTAACAAAATGAGACATTCAAATGTGTTGCTTAACGATCAATTAGATTTAAATACCTGTCCTTTATTGAACTTAAATTCTCACAACAACATTAATTCAGGGTTTATTGTCATTTCTCGGTATGTATAGTAGCAGGTAGTTTGTAAATATTACATTTGATAAAGACAGGGTGTTGTCGAAACAATTGTCATGTGAACCAAAACTAAAAATCTGAACTTTTAGTTCTTATTTATTTTGTTAAATGGATTTTCATCAAGTAAAAGCTGCCTCAGTTCAATTTCCAATCCAACTGTTTCAATTTATCAGAAAAGTCAAAGCTCTGGATCTTTTATCTTAATTAGACCATAGTAAATCAGTTTGTTAGTTACCAATATGTGAAACCTTTTCAAATTACGCAAAGTTGAGTCCTTGTCATTAGGTATTGCCGAGGGTATTGCTATCAGATACTTTTCTTTTCACACTTGCGAGCTTATAAGGTAAGCCAACATTAATTGACAACAAGGAAACTTAGAAGTAAACGTTTCTTTTTTGCTCAAAAATAAGGTGGTAGGTAGAAACAATAACCTGTTTTTAGAAAATTTTCCCCAACGAAACTCTAGATACTCGAGATAAGTAAGCAAATCTTTTCACTCCAAAATTGGAAAGGGTTATGTTTGCAGAAATTTTGGTATACTTTGATATTATTTGCACAGGTGTGAAAATTTTTAATGAAAAGGGTATTTATTTGTCGGTATTGGGGTAATTTCACACTTTTCAGCTTCAAAACAATTTGAACTCTTGAACGTCAAATGATACCTAAACCCGATCAGAAGATCTGTGTTCAATTAATGAGGCATATTCATCTAAACATGATATACAGGTTTTACTGTTCAGAATCTGGTTGACTTAATACGGAAAATGAAAATAATTGCGATTTTACAAAATATTCCGGTGCTCGTTAGTTTGTAGTTGTATTTCGCTTCGGCTTTGGTTAGGTTGTTGTTGTGGTGGATTTCGCGTAGAAATTAATACAGCAGTAACATACTAATCAAATACGCTTGAGTATACTAAACCAACTCCAATATTTTTTTATATACATATTTCAATTATAGGTACTGATAAGTAATTTTTGTTGTGGTTTCACCCGAGGTTTCACCTATTTATTTTTGGTTTACGCCCATCTGACGACAGGGCGCGCCTTGAACTTCACAAGTGAAATATTTATTATTGACAAATCCTCAATTTTGAAAAAAAATCTTACAACAGGTGCAGAGTTTATACACGCGCTATCTTAAACTTTTAATAGATATACTTTCGGACAGAATGGGTACTTCAGATATCGTTCGTTGTATCTTTGCTCAATTACTGAATGTCAGTGTCCAGGAATTTCAAAGATACACGGCAAAGAAACCGACCTACCGCATCAAACCAGTCAACGTTTCGTAACCCCCAAGGAGGCGAATGTTTATTTACGTTATTCCCGCAGATCCGAGATCGTTCAACTCACCAACAATAACAGTAGCGACCCCGTCCTTGATCTCTTTAACGTCCCTGCCATCCTTGGCGGCGCTCAAAAAGTCCGACAAACTGAGAGAACTCGCGATCAGCTGCCGTTTTTCTTCAAAATTCAAATAATCCAAACTGTTACTGCGCGTGGGCGCCACTATCGCTACCGTTTTCGTTTTTTGCTGCACCACCACGGAATTGTTCCCACATTTTTCGGCTTTATCGCCGGGCACGACATAAACACCGCTGAAATGGACAGACATAACAACCGGACTGACTCAGACGGAACAGGTAAATGGGGTGTTCGAAAATAATACGCGGGTCATCGTCATCAACGACATCCTGCACCTGCTGCACGCCAACGGACGTTATAGGTATAGAGGTTACCTGGTGTCCAGGTGAAACAGATGAAAATATTTACGACGAATCGCGAAGCCAACGCAGAGACACAAAAAAATGTATTAATTAATCGGACGAAGTGTAAGACGGGTGGCGATTAACAACGATCGCGATCACATTTTGCGGCTGACGGACAAGTCTCTGCACCGACTACGTGAACCCAAACAGTATTACTGAGCGAAGCGTCTCCGTCTCTGCCGTTGCGTACGCCACATTCGCGTTCACCCGTTTCCGAACGTAGCCGACCCACCAGGATCGGATTTCAAGAAATATGCGGAGGATTTGAAGAACAAGATGATCTCGGGTTGGCGTTCTCGCGACCACATTCGGTATGGTTTTGAATCGTCGCGTGTTTTTGAAACCAACATGAACATGAAATAATCCACTTGCAAGCAACGCTGACGGCGAGCTGCACTTGCATCGAATCGGATGCTACGTAATAATCCGTCCAAAATACTATTACTTTATCGTTTGTATTGAAGAGTCTGTGCGTCTCGTTGTATGTTGTGGTAATGGGTGTAAAGTTTATCTAATCTTCAAAGATCCGAGTGCATGATTTTAAATTTTACGGAGTTATTGAAATTCCAAAAAACAAATTTGTTTTAAATTTACACGCGTTTACACAATCTGCTCCTCGTATCATAAATAATTATATTGATGGACTGAACAAAATTTTAGAATAATGCGCTTCTTTACAAAAACCACGAAACATATTTAACAAATCATATCAATCAAAACTTTTCGATGCGCATTTTGTATACACTTTTCCTTGCTCGATTTTTCTTGCATTTTTTTTGTACTCATTAATGGGAAAACTATGATTTCTATTTATAAAAATCAAAAATAATTGACTCAAGAGTTATTGTGCTGTAGTGTGTACTGTGCAAAGAGTTACAAATACAAGAACTCAAAAAACATGTAATCTAAATTGTTAAATATTTTCGCGATAACCATCTAGGTAGAGCGAAATTCAGCCAAGCAGGTGGCAACGCTTTGGTTCTTCCAAGTGGGATGGAATAGTGCTGGTGATTGTTTAAAGATGTACGTCACTGAGGGAATTCGACCATTCACCAAAAAGAGTCAAATATTGGGCTTAAACATGGGCACAGGAATATTTAACCATTTTAAAAACAATATCACTTGCCCTTAACATTTTGCAGAGAAAAAACGCAGCAGTGGAAACATTTACAATATATCTTCCAGAATGTTGTAGATTTACCTTTATCAAAAATACGAAAAAATTCAGAATCGATATAAGCAGGCACTCACGCCATATAATTTTGTAGCCTATATGTTGAACCCTCAAACCCAAAAATATGAGTTAACCCCAAAAAAAAAAAGAACCTGGCTTTAGAAACAATTAATAATTTATATAGAAACACTGGACTTTTGCCATTAGTAATAAAGTCGATTGCCAGCAGTTGCCCATTTCAAAAAAAAGTATATTTTCGGATCAAATAATAAAAAACGTGGCCCACAGTGGTGGACATCACAAGAGGATGAGCCAAAAATTGCGAAGGAGCTACCAGTAATAAAACTGGTCCTGTGTGCAACTGCTTCCTCAGCGTAAACAGAATGAACTTTCAGCACTTTTGGTTTTGTACACTCAGATATAAGGAACGGGTGACAATTAGTATTTTTGTTCAAACTATGCAACGAAAATGCAGAAGCATAAAGTTGAGTTTTAGTTAATATTTTTGATAATATTTTTAGATTGTGCTTTTTGTATTATCACAATAAATTTAAAAAAAAAATAAATTAAATGATTTAAATCATGATTTTAATTGTGATCGAAATTGATTAAAACCCATCCTGTTAATGACATATTAAAAAATTTTAGTTTTAGTTTTTTTTTTTAAAGAGTGTACAGTTAATTTAGCCCAGTTTTTTTTGTTTGAATATTCTGTTATTAGACTGTAAGTCTGTTGATTGCAGATAAATAAATACATAATCTATAATCAAGCAGACCGTCTTCTTCGTCTCTGTTGTAAATGTAACACAATATCCAGTAATATTCTCATTCCTAGATCCTCTGCGCTCCATAGATCAGATTATTAAGTCTCCTGCTCTCAAAATTAAAAAAAAAGGAAGAATGTTTTTAACTGAGTCTAACTAATCAAAATATAATATACTATTTTTATGACAACGAAATACTTATCCATATTTATACAATAGATTTGACTTGAACTGATCCAAGTAGAATTTCGAAAAAGTAAATAACCAAAAAGATATAATCTGACACTTGCTCAAAATACAATGAAAAAATTAGAAAAAAAATCTTTAGGAGGGACGATGTAACTTTTGAAATGGACATCGAACCCGACTACAGACAAGTTCATTCTGCTCTTCCATGAAATAGTCCATATTTAACGTCGTTACAAAGAAGACGTCTAAACAGTACGTGATGTACATTTTAACGTAAACTTAATGAAATGGCTCTTCGTTAGTTCAAAATTCGAATTGTATGAAGAGGTAAATTAAAGCTGACCTATACTGGTGAAAATGTAGTAAACATTTTAGACATAGAAGAGAGATCAACTTGAACGCTGAAAGTTTAATGACATGGGGTGTGGGTGCGTTTTAGATTGCTTTTATTAATTCCATACAAGTCATCCGCCCTACGTAAATGACAATCGACATCAGAAAGATATTTCTCTTTCTCGTTATCTTTACCTTAAGTTGTTTATTCTAGCTTTTTTTCTAAACTTTATTCATTATTATGAAATCTTCGGAAAAATGCGCAAATAAACTAAATTTGCAGAAGTCCTATAATTTCTCACTTTAAAAAAAGGGAAGTGTGCTTGCTTGTTTCTGTTGTTCATTACCAATTAGGCACTCGACAGAAATTACTCGAACCCTTATAGACTTTCATGATTAACAAAGCACGTTTTACCTGAATACATAATATCAACAATAAACTGAATAAAATCTCAATTTAGCACCAATATTATTAAAGTTTGTTACTAAAAATTTAAACAATTATGCCAATATAATTATAACAATAAGCTTGAATTTATCACCACAATATTGTTAGAGCTAGGTAACGCATCGCTAAAATAAACAATTTCACTCGCTTTAATTAAATAATTCAATGCCGCTAAAAGTAGAGATTAAAGGTTAAATTCAATTTTAGTCGGCCATTTCATTAATTAGGAAAATCAATTAGCATTTGCGCCAATGTATTAAAATGTAAAAGTTTCTAATGATTCTTTAAATAACGCATCAACGTAAATTTTACGTTCGTTTTGTGTCTAAATATACTTTCCAATTTTTTTCCGATATCTGGTGCGTATACAATTAGTAATTGGTTAAGGAAAACAAAATAATAATTGCTTTCTTTTTGACAAACAACAAAAAGATAGAACATTAGGGCTTTTACCATCCGAAAGGAAAACAATATTTTGATAATTGTTATTTGTGAACGAAATAAGTGTTCATAGGTGCAGTCTCTAATTCTATTTGTCATCACGTCACATTGACAAAGGGTTGCATGTTCTTTTTTTGGATACATTCTTATCACGTAACCTATCACTCACTTCCGGTACTATTATTGTCTTTACATTATTCGAAAAGTTTACTGCTTCTTTATGACCATTTATATCGGGTGACACGAGGGAAATTTTAAACGGCTGATATGTATTTAAATTCGAAAATGACGTACGTCATCGATTAGTAATTTTCATCACCAACTTCAGTTAAATTATCAAACGATTACCTATCGTTTGACCGTTTTTTATTTAATTTACCTCAAATTTTGTAAATTTGTAGAAGTTTCGGATTCAATATAAATATCATATTTTCATTATGAAAGTGTAATTTAAGAAAATGAGAACATTTAACTATACATTTTTCACCAAGCAGTCAAGAAAAAAGTTCAAATTAAATAACAATAAATAAAGATATGTCTTTACTAAGTCATCTAAATTCCAAACTTCGTACAAATTCTTATACCTGCAGCAGCATAGTTTTACTAAACTGTATTTCCGAGCAACTGGTTGACAATGCTCATGGGTGCTTGTAATTATACAACCCGCTGTATATCTGGATTCATATAGTTCTCCGGATACTTCTCACAGGTAAAGCCACCAATGTAAAGAGCAGCTTTGAACTAGTAATTAATAACCAAAAAATGTGCAGATTATTCAAAATTTCTCGACAAAAAAAAAAGATAAAAATGTCGGTTGAAACTTAACTTACCGTGCGCGATGGATATATTTGTACAGTTTTGACATATTTATAACGAATTATGAAATATTTAAAATACAATTTCCTTGTAATTGAAATCCTTACTCATATATAAGAAATTTTTGCTCCTTTGATATTAGAAAATTTCACCAAACTGCTTGTTTGTTTTATACGAACGCCGATCTAACGAGGCTTATCAAAGGTAACCAAAACTCATTATTAATTAGTCTACAAATAATAAAAAGTTTTAATTAGTTTTATATAGTGTTCCCATTTTAATTTTGAAATACATTACCAGTAGTGTTGGTACTGTTCAATTGAACACCAATAAACTAGTGAGTGAGTTTACCGAACGTGTTGCATACTATACTTTTTCTACGACCGTTAGTTTTTGGGTACATTTTCGCAAAACAACACGAATACATTCACTACCATGCAGTCAGAATTGACAAACGTCAAAATCCCGGAATTGTCCGAAGTGGCTCGGATCCATGGGAAACGAACCTGACGCGGTAAAGTGACGCTTCCCCATGTGTAATTAGGAATTTTATAGACGGGAGTAAAAAACCACTTTTTTATTTTATTTTTTCGAAAAATTTCAGATAATCGGCATTTTTTATAGTTATTTACTATTTCAAAGGTGCCAAACATAACATAAAAAAAGTGCTTGTGTCTGAGAAACGCTCTCGAACCGCCACCCCGTATACCTACATGCCGACAAAAACACCCCAATTGACAAAAATCGTTTTTCATTAGGCGAGCTTCGAAACGTACGCCGCTGACCGGGTCTGGAATGGGGATTCCGTTTCCGTCGGCGAGAGGGAATTGGGAATGTACGGTCGCCATAGTTACACGCACCGGCTGTCTATTGTTAGAACGCCAACGTTGTTTAAATTCCCGTCTCGCTCTTTCGACGGCGTTCCTGCGTTTTGTTCGAGAGAGATAAGTCGGAAAGCAAAATACCGAGTGGCTAAGGGATAAAAGGG